ACTCTAATAATCAGAACAATAAAGATTTATTTAAAAAAATTCCTCAAGCTTTATGCTTTGAAGATACATTTTATTGCATGTATGTTGTACTTCAATTTAAAGATTGTAAAGTTCAGTTTTTGTTTGACTGGAGACCAGCTTGCTGCAGTGAGACCCAAGGAAAAGCAATTAAAAAGGGGGACATTAGAAAAATGTACAACATACAAAAAATGCATACACTGAAGGGTTGGTGTTTGTGGCAGATTTTAGAGGATTCCAGAAATCCGTATCATTGCCCATCACAGTTTCTTTTGCTGTAGGAGCCCAGGGCAAGATTATGGTAAAAGTGGAGATTTTGAAAAATTCACACACATATTCACATGTTGAAAGGTGAAGACTTGGTGTGGGGGTGTCTTACGCCTTGCCCACCTATCTCCCCGTGACCGCTCCCTAAAGCTGAAAACGAAATTAGAGGTTGACCTAGGAAGAGGTTACAGAAGTCCCTCTTGCATCCTGTCTATAGGCCATCGTCCCCTGAGGGATTTCAGGGGAAAGCTATAAGGGAGGAGTGTAGTGACGGATGGTCCATGCACACGACACAGAAGAGTTGTGGTTAGGGGTAATTAATGAGGGACGATGGTAGGGGTTTGGGAGTCCTTTTCGTTGTCTGATTACAAGCTTTCATGCAGTGGAAAGATACAGAGGAGGATGAGACATGGAAGATATTTGAAAAGTCTTTAAAAAAATCACACATTTGGAGCCTTGACTGGTGTTGCAGGTAGCACAGAGAGATTTTGTTTACTCTTTGCTCAGCTTCCCTTGATGATAACAACTGGCCTAGCTGGTACAATGATCAAAACCAAGAACTTAACATTGGCACAACATTATTAACAAACTGCAGACTTTATTCAGATTTCACCAGTTCTTCTCTAGTGTCCTTTTCTGTTCTAGGATGCTAGCCAGTCTCCCATGTTGTATTTAGTTTTTGTTCTTTCTAAAGTTCCTCCAATCTGGGACAATGCTTCCATTTTTTCATAAATTTGACACACACCAAAATTTCTTATTTTTCAATTACTGTTGACACACTTATTATATTAGTTTTAGGGGTATATCATAGTGGTTAGACATTCATGTAATTTAGAAAGTGATCACCCCAATAAGTCTAGTACCCACCTGGCACCTACATAGTTGTTACAATATTATTGACTAGTGACCTTGACACTTTTTAAAAAATATATATATTTTATTGATTTTTACAGAGAGGAAGAGAGAGGGGTAGAGAGTTAGAAACATTGATGAGAGAGACACATCGATCAGCTGCCTCCTGCAAACCCCCTACTGGGGATGTGCCCGCAACCAAGGTACATGCCCTTGACAGGAATCGAACCCGGGACCTTTCAGTCCGAAGGCCGACACTCTATCCACTGAGCCAAACCGGTTAGGGCAGACCTTGACACTTTTTAAAAAATATATATTTTTTAATTGATTTCAAAGAAGAAGGGAGAGGGAGAGAGAGATAGAAACATCAACGATGAGAGAGAATCACTGATTGGCTGCCTCCTGCACACTCCTCACTGGAGATCATGCCCCAGGCATGTGCCCTGACTGGGAATTGAACTGTGACCTCCTGGTTCATAGATCAACACTCAACCACTAGCCACACCAGCCGGGCACGAAAGGTTTAGAAGGGGTTAGAATCATTGCATTCTAGAACCCGAGAATCCCCAACCCACCCCATTAAGACTATTGCCTGGATTTCTGCAGAACTGAGAGAGAAGAAATTACCCCATGTCCACCAAATCCTTTTCTGACTCTACTTTCTATCTGTCTGCATGATGGGATCCACAGTGGTCCTCTCTCCTCCCTGTCCTGGACATAAGGAGCTCCCTGCAGCAAAGGACACTCATCCCCCATTCCCTTCTCCCTTCTCCTAGGGATGCAGAGCTGCTTGCTCTGACATGGGAAGGGTTGAGAGCATTGGGGATGTGGCTTCCTTACTCAACCACAGACCTGGAGAGTTGACCTGGGGCTGGAAGTGGAGGTAGGGGAGCTGATGAAGTGAAGACAGTTAGACCTAAGGAGCTGGGGGTTTGAGTGGAGCAGGAGGAGAGGAACCTCCTCTTACAGGCCTCTCAGTGTGGGTGAAACACACCATTAAGCAGTTTTCCTAGCGTCAGCATAGTGGCTACATTGGAGAAGAGTAAGCAAAGGAGAAATTGGGAGGGGGGTGCACTTGGAAGAAAGTCGCAGGGGGATCAAACAGTTCCAGACATTCCACCTCAGTGGCACGTCAGACGACAGTCAGGAGGTATTACTGAAGGACTGCGAGGAAAGGCAGCTCGTATAGGAGAAAGTACCTGGGGCCTGGATACAAGTACAGGAGCACCACAGAACGGCCTGGAGGGAGGGGCAGCAGTGAGGGAAGCACAGTTGGGAGACACCAGGAGGGAGTTATCACACAAGTGGAACAGTCAAACACGCAAGCTCCTGGAGGTGGAAGATTCCAGAGGTGGGAGTGAAAGACAGAGAAGGGGCCTAGTGAACCCCAAGAGAGACAACAACCAAGGCCAGGGGGACTGTCCAAGTCCATGGCTAGTGTCTGCTGAGCCTGATAGTGGCTGTCCATTTTATTTTATTTTTTAAAAAATATATTTTATTGATTTTACAGAGAGGAAGGGAGAGGGATAGAGAGTTAGAAACATCGATAAGACAAACATGGATCAGCTGCTTGCTGTACGCCCCCTATTGGGGATCGAGTCTACAACCAAGGTACATGCCCTTGACCAGAATCAAACCCCAGGACACTTCAGTCCGTGGGCCGGCTCTGTCCACTGAGCCACCCTGGTTAGGGCGTGGCTGTCCATTTTAGACCGGGCATCGGCTCTCAGTCCCATTCCCCCTCCCAGCCCAAATCACTTGCTGGTGACCTGTCAGGCCCCCAGGGGCATTTAAGTACCGGGGGCGGGGGAGGGGGGGAAGAGGTGGGACTTGGGTATTAAAGGGCTGTGACTCCCAGTCTGAGGAGTGCAGATTTTGTTTCCTAGGTCCCTGAACAGGGTTGTTGAGCAACGGGTCTCATTGCACACAGTGGTACCTCCGTTGGCGAGTAAGGCAAACTGAAGAAGCTCATGGCAGAGAGCTGAGGCAGACACCTTCAGGTTGTCTGTGGACAGAGGAGACGAGTTTACTGGGAAACAAGTGAGAGGTGCAATAGGGGAGGGACGGCCACTCTGTCTGAACTGGGCTCTGTGATCCAGATGCTGTCACTCTCCACCTGAATCTCTGCACCATTGCACACCTCCTCGTTTGCCTCTAGTCTTTACCTCCTCCATGGGGCCAGATGAATCTTTCTTAACATGACCATGCTTCTAATGCACTCGTTAATGAGGCCAACAAATGTCAATCGAGGGCCAGCTAACTATAGGCACCGGGAATACAGCAAAGAATGAAACAGGAAAATATTTCCTGCTCTCATGGAGCTGACATTCTGGCTGTGAGAATTTTTCTAGGGGCGACGCCAGAAGTGGAACTGCTGGGTCACATGTATGTGCAGCTTCAACTTGATAGGTATTGCCAAATTGCTCGGCAAAGTAGTTGAACTAATTTATGTTCCCACCAACAACGCACAAAGATTTCTCTGTTGTCCTCCAATACTTGATCCTATCAATTATAAAATTTTGCTAATCTGATGAGTGTGAAATTATATCTCATTTTTATTTACTTTTCTCCAAATGGCTACTGAGTTGAACATTTCCTGTGCACAGCGGCCATTTAATCTCCTCCTCTGGGAACTGTCTCTTAATATCTTCTTTTCTATTGGTTTACTATTAAGTCTAATCCTTTGTTGGAAGGGCTCAGTCCCTTTTAAGCACTTACCTGATTGGTCAGTCCCTCCTAGGATGACTTCACTTGGGATTAACTCAAAACTAATTGATTTGGGTCTCTAATTACATCTGCAAAATCCCTTTTGTCATATGTCACATAGTCATGGGAGTATATCTTATTACATTCACGTGTCCCACCCCCATTCAGGGGAAGGGGATTATACAAGGGCATGGGTCATGTGGGGTCATCTTTAGAATTATGCTTATCACAAATATTACAGGAACATAAAGTTATTTTTCCTTCTCAAAGAAGAAGTTTTTGTTTTCATAGTCTACCTACTGTGTTTTGCTGTTTTATGTTTCATTCATTTATACTATTACATTTATTATTTCTTTAACTTTACCTTTTTTGGTTAGTCCTCACAAGGATATTTTTTCCATTGATTTTTGGAGAGAATGGAAGGGAGGAGGAGGAGGAGGAGAGAGTGAGAGAAACATCTGTTAGGACTATAGGGCAATGTAATCCTTAACAGCGTTTGTAAGCTTCCCACCATAGGAGGACAAAGACCAGGAAAACTTGCTGGACACCAGGAATGAGACCATTCAAGGAATAAAACTGTTCTAAAAACACCTGATCGCACATTCACGTTTCACCCACATTCCAAGCTCACCAGCTCATTCCCCAGACCCACTGAGGACAAGAGCTTCCCACCTGTGACTGCATATAAGGATGGAACTCCAGCCCCTGGGTGCTGCCACCATCCACCCAATATCCCCTTGGCCCAGTGCTTTGCAGCCCTTCCCTTTGGATATCCCATCTCTCATCCCCTTCCCTTAAATAAATTTAATTTTTGTTAATCTACTGTCCAAGATGGCTATTTAGCCTGCCTGCACACTACCCATGTTAACCTTTCAAAACAGACGTGAGAGAGACATAGGATTGGTTGCCTCTGGAACTTGTATCAGGTCCAGAACTGAGCCTGCAACCCAGGTACATGCTCTTGACCGGGAATTGAACCCAAGACCCTTAGGTCTGTGGATGGGTGCTCTAACCACTGACCCACCAGTCAGGGCTACTTTTATCTTTTTAAGGAGTAACTTTTTTTTTTTTTTTTTACATGAACACTTCATTAACAGTGGAACATCTTCCCCATGGGCCATGTGGTCCACCCAGACAGCCAGGACCCAGACACACATTCAGTACAGCCTCCTTGTTCCTCGCTCTGACTCCAATAGAGTGAACATGTTGCCCTCATGCACGAGGCCTTTTACATTTTGGATGATGGAACAACCGGTCCTGCCCAGCACCTGGGTGACCCTGGATAGCTTGATAGACTGCACATGACTCATGTCCATGATGGCAGCAACTATCCGGGGAAAGGGCTCACTCTGTATTTTATTTTTATTTTTTATTCTCCTATATTAGATGCTAGGCTCATTAATTTTCAGTTTCCTAAAATTTTTTATTTAGAGAGAGGAAGTGAGAGAGAAACATCGATGTGAGAGAGAAACATCAATTAGTTGCTTCCCACACATGCCCCGACTGGGGATCTAACCTGCAACCTAGGTAGGTACCCTAACCAAGAATAAAACAATGCTCTAACCAACTGAGCCACCCAGCCAGGACACTTTTCAGTTTTCTTATTTTCACATTTAGACACTTCACTCAACAGTCTGCTTTACCTGCATCCTCTAAATACTCAGCCTTAAACTTTTTTGTTTGCTTTTATTTTTCTACTACAGTTGATATTCGATCTTATTTATGTTAGTTTCAGGTGTACAGCATCCTCTACTGTACTGTTGAACCCCTGTAAATTATTCTTTATTTCAGTTAGTGTATGCTTCATTTCTGACTTGTACTTTTTTGCTTGAAATTCTAAGTTCCTTGAAGCTCTCGTTAAGATCCTTGAGCAACCTTTTAACCATTGTTTTGAACCATTGTATCTGGTAGTTTTCATTCTTCCATTTCATTTAGTTCTTTTTCTGGAGATTTTTTTTTAATTAAATCTTTATTGTTCAGATTATTACATTTGTTCCTCTTTTTTTCCCCCCATAACTCCCCTCCTCCCAGTTCCCGCCCCACCCTCTGCCCTCACTCCCCACCCACTGTCCTCATCCATAGGTACACGATTTTTGTCCAGTCTCTTCCCGCATCTCCCACACCCCTTTCCCCCTCAAGAATAGTCAGTCCATTCCCTTTCTATGTCCCTGATTCTATTATGATCACCAGATTATTTATTCACTTGATTCTTAGATTCACTTGTTGATAGATGCATGTTTGTTGTTCATAATTTGTATCTTTACCTTTTTCTTCTTCTTCCTCCTCTTCTTAAAGGATACCTTTCAGCATTTCATATAATACTGGTTTGGTGGTGATGAACTCCTTTAGCTTTTCCTTATCTGTGAAGCTCTTTATCTGACCTTCAGTTCTGAATGATAGCTTTGCTGGATAAAGTAATCTTGGTTGTAGGTTCTTGGTATTCATCACTTTGAATATTTCTTGCCACTCCCTTCTGGCCTGCATGGTTTCTGTTGAGAAATCAGCTGACAGTCGTATGGGTATTCCCTTGTAGGTAACTGACTGTCTTTCTCTTGGTGCTTTTAAGATTCTCTCTTTGTCTTTTGCTCTTGGCATTTTAATTATGATGTGTGTTGGTGTGGTCCTCTTTGGATTCCTTTTGTTTGGGGTTCTCTGTGCTTCCTGGACCTGTAAGTCTATTTCTCTCACCAGGTGGGGGAAGTTTTCTGTCATTATTTCTTCAAATAGGTTTTCAATATCTTGCTCTCTCTCATCTTCTGGCACCCCTATAATTCTGATGTTGGTATGCTTGAAGCTGTCCCAGAGGCTCCTTACACTATCTTCGTATTTTCGGATTCTTTTTCATTTTGCTTTTCTGGTTGGGTGTTTTTTGCTTCTTCGCATTTTGAATCTTTGACTTGATTCTTGCGCTCCCCTGGTCTGCTGTTGGGTGTCTGTATAATATTCTTTATTTCAGTCAGTGTATGCTTAATTTCTAGTTGGTTCTTTATCACAACATTGAGGGTCTCATTAGATTTCTTGAAGATCTCACTACATTTATTATTCTTGAGAGACCTTAAAAGTGTGGTTCTGAACTCTATATCCTCCATGGACAATTTTGTCCTGTTTCTTTGTCTCCACATTTTTATGCTTTCTTGGTGCACCCCTTAGTGGTCTTTGTGCGCAGTCTTGTTGTAGTTAAGCCTTGATTGTTGTTGGCAATAGTGGGGGTGATTTGACCTCCAGACTAACTGGCTATGAGAGTCCGCTGTGTCTGCAGTGGGAGAGCTTCTGTGCTGGATCTCTAGGGAGGTGCTAATCTAGCGTTTGCCTGAGGCTATCCAGCAAATGGCTCTGCGCAGGGCTTGGGCGGGGCGGGTCCCTGGGGATCTACAGGGCGGGCGGAGCAAGCAGTTATGGCTGCTCTCAGTTCCGTCCCTAGGGGTTCTGCCTCACAGAGTCCCAGCAACTGCTGCAAACCTCGAAGAGAAAGCTGCCTTCGATTTCCGACCGAAGCCAGACAGTCCCGCTTCTCCAGTTTGAGTCTGGGTCCCTAGAGACTCGCCCGGATCTGGAGCTCAGAGTCTGAAACTCCCTCCCGATTGAAAACAACAACCACACCCTCCGCCGCCAGCCCGCTCCGTGCGCACTCTGCACCTGAGTATTTCACTTCAGCCCTGCGCCACCTCTGAGTCTGGGTATGATATTCTCTTTCCTCCTAGTTGTAGAATTTCCACTCAGCCAGCCTTCCTGTGGTTCTGGATGATGTCCGTTCCGTCTTTAGTTGTTTTTTGAAGTGGTTGTTCCAGGCAGCAATCTCCGGCGTTAACCTATGCCGCCATCTTGGTTTTCTCGAGAACCTGGAGATTTTTTTTGTTCTTTCATTTGTGACAAGTTTCTCTGTCTGCATTTTGACTGCTTCCCTGTTTTTGTTTCTATGTCTTAGGTAGATCTGCTATGTCTCCAATACTTGATAGAGTCACTTTGTGTAGTAGGTGTCCTATAGAGCCCAGTGGCTCAGCCTCCCCAGTCACCTGAGCTGGGCACTCTAGGTGTGCACCTGTGTGAGCTGTGCACACTGTCCTATTGTAGTTGAGCCTTAATTTATGTTGATATCACCAGGAAGGATTGACTCCAGGCCGATAGATGGGAGGAATGGCTGTGACTACAACTGAAGAGCTGCTGTGCAGGAGACACCCCTATGGAACAGGACTTGCTTCAGTAGGGCTTTGGTGCTCACCATGTCTGTCTCTTGAGTTTGTCACTTGTGGAGGTTGTAGGGTTGTAATTCAGCATGGTCAAAGTGGACCACCAGCTGCACTGGCTCTGGGGCCTCCCAGGAGGTGCAAAGTCAGCCTCTGCCTATGCCCTGCATGGGCCTCCCAGCATGAGCTACAAAGCAATCTGCAGATGGCTGCTACTTGTATTGAGCTTGGAGGTGCCCAGGAGAGGCCAAGCTGTGAACCATGGTGGGCTGTGGCTAGTGCTGAGCCTGGGGCTACTTATTGAGAAGTATGGAGCATGCTGATGCCAGCTGCTGTTTGTTTGAGAGATTTTAGGAAAGTCCAAAGCACGAGGCAAGAGAGGCCAGTATGGAAAAGCCACTGGAAATGGCTTGGATGAGCCTGTAAATAGGGAGGGGTGGGATTTTAGGAATCACCAGGGTGGGGTGAAAAGTGTGAGCCAGGTTAATGGAGATTCTGATATAGCACAGCCTGTCAGTTCTATGGCAGGGAGGTCTCATCAAAGGGAACACTGGCCTCTGCCAGCATTTCTGCCTGGGAGACAGCTGCCCCTCCAGCTCTCGCCCTGATTCCAGAAAAGTTAGTTTCTCTCCGAATATCCCAGGTTCCTTTCAAGCTGCTGCCTCAGTGTTGGAGCTGAGAGGGAGCAAGTCCAGGAGTGGGCCTTTAAGAGGAACTGCCTGGGTCTCCAACAGCATCTGTATCACTCAGCGACAATCCCTGCTGGTTTTTACAGCCTGAAGGTATGGGCACTTCTCTTCCTGACACTGGAAGCATGGACTGGGAGCCTGGTATCAGTCAGGGACCCCTTGCTCTTCTGAGAAACACCCACAGTCAAGATATCTCTCCTGATTTTAAATGGCCACCTGCGGGCATCAGACTACTAAGGGCCAGAATTCCACCCATGTCTCCACCCCTCCTACCAGGCTCAATGGGCTTCTTTAATTCCCTAGTTGTAGGACTTCTGTTCAGCTAGATTTCAGTTGGTTTTGAATGATGGTTGTTTTGTATTTTAGTTGTAAATTTTTTCCATTATATTTTTATTGATTTCAGAGAGGAAGAGAGAGGGAGAGATAGAAACATCAATGATGCGAGAGAATCATTGATTGGTTGCTCCTGCCCGTCTCCCACTGGGGATTGATCCCCAAACCCAGGCATGTGCCCTGACTGGGAATTGAATGATGACCTCCGGGTTCATAGGTTGACACTCAACCACTGAGCAACACCAGCCAGGCTTTATTTATAAATTTTGCTGTGGTTGTGGGAGGCAGCGAATATTGCATTTATCTATGACACCATCTTGACCAGAAGCCAAGAAAAAGAGCTTTAAAATTTTCTTAGAAGAGTCTTCTTTGAACTATTTACTACAATTATTATATAAGGAAAGTAAGAATTGCAGGGAGCCCTAGCAGGTTTGGTTCAGTGGATGGAGCACCAGCCTGAAGACTGAAGGGTCCCAGGTTTGATTCCGGTCAAGGGCACATGCCCAGCAGGGGATGTGCAAGAGACAGCCAATCAATGATTCTCTCTCATTATTGATGTTTCTATCTCTCTATCCCTCTCTCTTCCTCTTTGAAATCAATAAAAATACATTAAAAAAAGAATTGCAGGGAAAAACTACCTAAAAATAGGTATTAAATCTGTTTAATAGCTTTAATAATTCTACTATTTCTAAGTCATTCTATAAAAGGGCATTGCAGTTCTTCAGTTTATTATAAACGCATCTTTTTTAAAAAGTCAGCCCTGAGAAGCAGAGCCTCTGAGGGCAAGACTGAGAGCAGCCATAATTGCTAACCCAGCCCTGTTGATCCCGTGGGACCTGCCCCGCCCAAGCCCTACAGGGAGACTTTTTCTGGATAGCCTCAGGCAAAGGCTAGATTAGCACCTCCCTAGAGATCCAGGAGCCAGGAAGCCCAGAGGTCAGAGTGGGACCATCCAGTTTGCAGCTCCATGGAACCATAAAAGACACACCCAGGGGGCAGACTCAGTGAGCACCAAAGTCCCATCTAAGCAAGTCTAGCCCCAGAGGGGTGTCTCCAGCACAGAAGTTCTCCCACTGCAGACACAGCTTATTCTCACAGCCAACTGGCCTG